AGGACAGTGATGTCAAAAAGATCACATCTTATACATGTTATATACCATTCTCTCATTCTCAGTCTCTGTCTTTTCTCTCTCTCTCTGTCTCTGTCTCTCTCTACACACATATATAGATACATATACACATATCAAATGTTTTATTTGACTTATATCTTATATCTGACTATATACACTGATATATGTATATAGTATATCTGAGTTACATCTGATCTCTGTGATATCTATCATCTATCTATCTATCTATCTATCTATCTATCTATCTATCTATCTATCTATCTATCTATCTCTCTATCTATTCCTCCCTCCCCCTTCCCCCCATCTACCATCATGTATCTGTTGTCTACACCACCTGGTTTGCCTGAGCAGGTTTTAATTCATGCTTATTTTTTTTAGTATGCCATGTCCCAACATATATGTGATTTAGAAAAAGTTGAAATACTTTTTAAATAAAACTATTTTACATATCTGTCAAATGAAAGACCCAATTTTCTGTCTATACATATATATTTAAAATAATTTTTTAGCATCCCCCTTTTATTTCCATTAGTGTCCAGTTTGGATGACAAATGATTGTTGAGGTAATCTAAACATGAAGGATTGATAATCTGAACAAAACAAGTAAGACTGAAAATGGAGAAGACAAGAATGGAGATTTTGTTGGAAAAAACAATAGAATTTAATGACTGACTAGAAGCAGAGAAATGAACAAAGGAGATGACCAAATGCCAAAGCTGGAATAATTGAAAAAATGGTGGCAGAATTCTGAAAGTTTTGAAAGCTGGAAATGTTAAAAAAAAAAATAAAGAAAAATTATACAAATAAAGTTCTTTTGGCTTCGAAGCCCCCTAATATTTCTGCATGCCAATATTTTCAACTTGTTTCTAGTAAACACATTTAAACTAAGTTTCCATATTTGTATTAATTTAGTTCTATTGTGCATTCTCTTTTAAAGGCTAATTGTAATTTTGTGACTATGTATGTACTAATGATTTATCTGAATAATTAGAGATTTTGTAAGTGTCTGAAATATCAACTTCTCCTGCAAATGGGAACTTACAAAGAGTTGTTTTAGAGTTGAGAAACTAAGGCCTGGGAAGTTAAGTATATTGCTCTGAGTCACATGGGTAATAGTAATGAGGAACACTTACATAGCACCGAATAGGTATCAGGCACCATCCTCAGCGAGCTCTGTAGTTTGACTAATTTCACCTCACAACAAAACTCATGAGGTAAGTACTATATTATTACCATCCTCATTTTACAATGGAAAAATAAGGTTCAGAGAGGTTAAGAAGTATCTTAAGATTGCACAGCTAGTAAGTGGAAGAACTGGGATTTGAGCCCAAGTCTTCAGGCTCAGAATCTTTTCTCTCATCCACTATGTTATAGTGCCAATCACAGAAGGGAAGTCAAGAAGAACCAATTGTGATAGTCTTTCATTCTGAAGATTATGCACAGAACTGCACACATTTAGAGAGAATGCTTCAGACTTATTTCTCTCACACATGTGGTGAGAACAAACATTTATTGTAACTACATGGATATGCTCATAATTCAGCCAAACTCAAATAATTTACTCTCCCTTGTGTACAGGGACATGCTTACAAAGCATTTTATAAGAATCTCTAAAGAGATAAAGGAAGAGTAAGGCTCAATCTTTGAGATCACCGAAGTAGCCTCTTAACATTAAAATATGGAAATAAAAGGAGAAAAGCAATTGTGCATTCAGTAAGCATTCAAATATCTAGAGTCAAGAGGGCTCACTGGAAAAAATATGTTCTCAAGCTCATTTGCTATATTGTGGTAGTTAAGAGTAAATAGCAATTAAAAAAAATTACCCAACCATTTTCTAGTAACACTGAACAAACCTTCTAAAACGTTGTTCTAGTATCATCATGAAGAGAAACATTAAAATTATATTTACATATATTTCACTTACCAATAACACAGTCTAGCTATATTTTCGGAATATTCAAATACTTCACGTAAGGATTATTATTTAATGGAAAGAATTTTAAGTGAATGCTATTCTATTTGTGTGGTGGGCATGTTGTTATTTCTGTAAACTGAATCAAAACCTTAAAGGATTTACATCTTTTCAATAGAATCTAATACCCACAGAGTATTAGTATCCACCTTACATATTTGCTAAAGCCTTGAACAACAGGTTTTCTTATTTTCTGTATTTTCTTAAATTATAATGGAACATATTAATATAATTGCAAGCAGTGACAGATATAATTAATTTTGAGCTGGAATATCAAGAATGTCTTCACAGACCTCAACAAAGCCCTTTGATGGAGTGGAGAAGGGGTCATCAGGTATAGAAAGGGTGCCTTCCTACACTCTGCCATTTGGACGGGATGGAGAAGGGATCATCTAGGTCTTAGCAGAGAGGGACAGCTGCGTTCCCACCTTCTGCAATTTGGATGGGGAGGACAAGAGATCATGAAAGTCTTAGGAATAGGGGAGGCAGAGTTTCATTGCCATCCTTTACATGTTAAGCCAGACTTTGTATCAAACTTCTCATAGTTATTGCAGCGTTATTTCATGTTTTAAATTAGGAAGGTTACAAAACAAAATAAGAAAAGAATGCTCCAAAAAAAAAAAAAAAACGAGGAAAAGTGGTCAAATTGGCTAGAGGAATTTAGATTTTGAGGCAAATATATACAAAAAAAATAGAATCGTGTTTTAGACAAATAAAGGGGACCATTGGCCCTAATTTTAAATGCATTTACTATAAAAGAATTATCCCTTAGATGTCTTCTACTTTAAATAAACATCCTCTTAATTTGTTTTCTATTAAATTCACGTTGTGAATTTTTACTGCTTCCTTAGTTAATAGTTTACTCCTATAACCATTAATTTATTTATTACACTTTTTAGTGTGCATCTACATAAAAACTTAGGATCTTTATCAGTATTTAAAACTCATTTACTTTCTCACATGGACGTTCTTTATTTCCCCCATTCTATTTTGGTAGTGTGCCTGACAAAAATCATGAATTTTATGCTTCATAAAACTTCAAGGCAAAACCATCCTCTAACCTACTCTACTCATTTTAATGATAAATGATGGAAGATCTCTATTTGAGTAGTAGTAAAGTAGTAAAGTAACCCAAACAAAAAATATTGAAACATAATGAAAACTGATTTCACACATTTCTTTTATTTGTAGATATATTGTTGTATCACATGTATCTTTAAACCCATGAATAAGTTTATCATTCTAAACTTTGACATCTTTCACAGCAATAAGATTTAGCATACTTTTCAACATGTGATATTTAACTGGATAAAACAAAACGTCATTGCAAGGCACAAGGCTGGAAGGACACAAAGAAACAATGCAATGAAATTACTTAATTTTACAGATAAAAAATCTGTACTTATCATTATTACAAATAAAGTAGTGTTTAAAAATTAGACTCAAGTTCATCTGGATTGTATTCACCGCTCTAATTATAGGATCTAAGGGCCTCAAGGCATTCTGAAGACCATATTGTCCAACTCCCACCGAAACTTTGCATGCTCTTATGACATCTCAAGTGCTATTAGAACACTGCTTGAATGTCTACAATTTAGGGAATTTAATCCCTGAGGCACCCATTCATTTTTGAAGATCTCATATTAAAAACAAACACTTTACAGACAGAAATTTGTACTTTAGATTTCATACACTAAGCCTGATTCTTAGGTTGGGTTGAGGGAGACAAGGAAGGATGGGGATGTGGGGTGGCGGTGGGGACTGAAATGGAGAGGACTGAGGGTGAGGCATGTACAGAAACTTAATTCTCCCTTCACATGATAGTGTTTCAAATCCTGAGAGCATGTATAATGTTCCCTCTTAGATCTCACGTCTCCTTACACTTTCCAGCTCTTCTATGAACATATTTCCAGTTCTCTTTGTGACTTCTAAGGTATGGCCTTCAGGGCTGAAGCAAGTCCCACAGACATGATCAGATCAGTGTGTGACTAAGCTGGCCATGTACATCCCTCATTCTAGATGAATCATAGTCAACAGTTGCAGTACTTTAAATCCAGCTGGACAGAAGTTTTGTTTGCTTGCTGGCTTATTTGTTTGTTTGTTGTAAAGAGAGATGCTCAAAGATATTCTGATTCTGAACCCCATCTGACTCTGACACATGGCCAGGGTAGAGAATCCCTGGTTCAGACACTAGGTCTCTTTTGTCCCTCAGGTTGCAATTTTAATAGCCACAGAACTCTTTCAAGTCATGCCAAGTTTATGTTATCACTTTCACGTGGACTGCTTCTAAGCAAAATCTTCCATTCCTGAATGAACATGTGATTGTTAAAATTTAGGTAGGAACTTACATTTATCTTGTTAACTTTCAGCTTTTTAGGTTGTTTCTAACTGCCTAGATATTTGTGGTTTCTGGTTATGTTTTTCCAATATTTTCCCAGCTCTGCATTTTTGTGAGCATATTTCTTGTATGTTTGTTTCAATTTGATAAATATGTTGACAGGGTAGATCCCAGAAAAGAGTTCTGCAGAAGTCCAAAAGAAAATTCCCTTTAGAGTAACATAACCTTTGGGGATGGTTATTCAACAAATTCCTAACCCGCCTTGTGACTAACACAGAGGACCTGCCCAATGCCGTGCTCAGCTAAGAGCACTTTAGGGTGCCCATGACACACTGCTTGCCCTTACAGTGATAGACCATCAGACTTGAGGCTGAAATTCCTAGCATTACTTTATAAGATAAATTTGGCATAGAGTTAAATATCATATGAAAATTTTCATGTGATATGTAATCAAAAGCCTACTTCAAAGCATACTTTAAAATAGATTAGGAAAATTATCACTTTTATGAGATTAAATGCCTTAAACATTTGAATCTTAGTATTTCAACACACATTATTAAATAACAAAACAGATATAATTTTTTTTAAAGCATAGTTCTAATACACACTCCACTTCTATTGTTACCATGGTAATATTTCTCTGGCAGCAATTAAAAAAAATGAGATTCTTACCCAAAAGTTTGGGAAGCTTGGTAGGCTGGGGAGTCAAGGAGTCATTATTCACAGCATTAAGCTGGGTTCTATAATCATCCACCGGGAAATCATTCACTGGAAAAAAATATAGCCAATTAAATTATGAGACATTGTCACAAGCTTATAATTGTACACATAAAGCAAAGCACAGCAGTTGTGTGAAGAAAAGAAGACTTCTAGAAATTTTATTCACATTGCTATGCTAAATTAGTAAACAGTGAATCTTTAAAAAAATATATGATGTACATATAAGATAACATTATGTATGCAATAAGATAATATTTCCTTCAGTAACTTTGTGGTTCTTGGTCAAAAAAAGCATAATAGTTAACGTTTAAGTCCCTCCTTTAATAAATTTTATGGTCAGATAAAATTGATTGATTTTAGTGGTAGGTCTCAAAGAACTATTTGCCCTCAAGTTGTTATAAACCTAAGGGATTTCAGCAGTCCTACTCTTGTGCCGAAATTATGCTACAGTGTTCTCTGGAAGAAAAATTAAATAATATAACCTAAAAAAAAAAGTCAGATCTATGGAAACAATTTCCACTATAGTTAGACTTCTTAAATCTCTGTGCTTTTTACAAAAAAATTTAGGGGCCAGCCCCGTGGCTTAGCAGTTAAGTGCGTGTGCTCCACTACTAGTGGCTCAGGTTCGGATCCCAGGCCCACACCGATGCACTGCTTCTCCGGCCATGCTGAGATGGCGTCCCACATACAGCAACTAGAAGGATGTGCAACTATGACATACATGTATCTACTGGGTCTTTGGGGAGACAAAGGGAAAAAAAGGAGGAGGATTGGCAATAGATGTTAGTTCAGGGCCAGTCTTCCTCAGCAAAAAGAGGAGGATTGACATGGATGTTAGCTCAGGGCTGATCTTCCTCACACACACACAAAAAAATTTAACATAGTGACTAATTTCCATTGTATTTAGTGAATACAAATGTATCTTCATTTCTATGGCTGAAACAAAATCTGGGTAAACCTGAACATCCTCTCAGATACCTTATTTTTAAAAGACTGGCTATCAATGAATAAGATGAGATGAGAAATAAACGTACATGTATCCTCACAGGTGCTCTTGCATTCTTCCAGTGATTCAAAGTTGTTTAGATTGCCAAGGCACCCCCCATACTTGAAACGTTCACACTGCTTTGACTGATTGTTATAGAAATACCTAGTAATATAACCTCGGCAGATTCCAGCATCTTCTTCCAAAAAGCAGAAATCTGGCTTTTCTAGAAATGATAAAAATGTCAGAAAGCAATAATCTTATTTGTGAATAATTTAATTATTTTAATTAAGTGTATAAATAACTGGTTAAGTTGAAGTTATTTATGGGTCAAACATGAAGAGTTAAAAATAAGAGATAAAAATATGACTTTATCCACAACTATATAATATTAAAATTATCTACTATATCTACTGTGACAAATAGAAGATGCAACTATTGTCACATATTGTTGCTACTGGAATTTCAAGTTTTAAATTTCTCATAGTAAATTAATAGGGCATTAACTATCAACTATTTCATGAATTGAGAGAATAAAAGATATTGGGTAACTTTACACTTGGTTTGGAAGTACAAAATATTATGGCAAAAATTTGGTTTATTTTTATTAAGTTCATGGGCATCAATATTTAGGAAAGATCAATGAATATTTTGTATTTTTTACTTGTGGGGTCTCATTAGGGAAAGAAGTGTAATATATTGCTTCACTAAGAATGGTTTCAAAAAATAATTGGAGAAGAAACTTTAAAGGGTATGGAAGCTTTCATGACTATTTTTAGAAGTTCCTGAATTTTTATGGTGGAATTAATATCTGTATTACGTATCACATCCTCCACCACTATATCTCTTATTTTTCTTTTTCCAGTCATTGGAATGACTCCAACAGTGCAGAGGCAGAAAGGAAATACATGTTCAGGGATTGGAGAAACTTTTGAAAAAGTCTAATACCCATTCTTTGATAGTGCTCCAAACCAGGCTAAACACAGCTGTCACAAAAGTTGTGGAACTGTGATCTACATTACAAGCTTTGTCTACAGGCATACTCTGTAAAGAGAATTGAATTTATTTTCAAAATTATTATGATCACAAGACATATTGGGCTTGAATTTCTTAGGTCAAAGTTTCAAAGCTTCAACTATATTTCTATAGTGGCAAAAATGAGCTGTAATATCCTTTTACATTTTAAAGCAACTTGCTCTTTCATGTCAGGGAAGCAATACTCATGAGGGTTTTATTGCAAAAAGAGCACGTTAATAATTTCTGCAACAGTTGTAGATCTTCAGAAAAACCAATCTCCTATAAAAAATTCTTTTATTAAATAAAACATCCTATTTTAATATAATGTAAAATATCTACTTTCTATAAGTACTCAAAGTACCAATTTGAAAGTTATTTTGCTTATTGTTTATTGCCTCCTGTTTCTCAAAGTGAATGTTCCTATTTTACCAGAGTAACAATTTGTAACAAAGTTTAATATATGGGACAAGAAAACAATTCTTTAAATTTTTATACACTTTTTTAAGGAAAAAGGAAAAATACATCCTATTACTACCATTTTGATTTGTTTTAGTCTTAGTTGTACTTCTTATGAAACTTTAAATCATCTTAACAAATAATATAAGAATTCTATGTTTAACAAAAGGGAGTAGGTAAAAAATATTGCATATAAAGAACAGAAAACGGTAACAAGTTATGCTGAAAAGTATAATTAAGAAACTATACAACTGGAAGTTGCTATTATTTATACCAGGCCCATTCTAGGACATAAATTTATTTTAGGACAAAGTCGAACGGTCACACTTGTAAAATAGTTCTGCTTAGGCCTAACAGTTTAAAATACAGTTACAAATCAATAAATTCATGCCTCGTATTCCTCAGATAAATAAAGTAACATTCGTATGGAATCTGCATGCAACATCTTTGCTCTAAATTGATGCTCAGTTAAAAGTGAGTAACACAAAATGCAGACTTTAAGCTATATACCAACTTCTACAAGGCACAGGATTTTCACTACTATCTTTCCTTTGAGGCTGCATACTTGGCAATTGTCTCAAACCAAACTTTCTTTCGAAGGGGTTGTAAAGAATTCCATTGTCTATAACTGCTCCGATGCTGATGCTAGGAAGCATATCACAAAGTTAATTTCAAACTGATGTGCTTAGAGGTCTTTATTATGCATTTGTTTTAGCATCTGGACATTTTTTAACACTCATGTGAATGGTATTGATAGCTTTATTCTCTAACTTTCATGTATAATATCAATTAAGAATGATTGAATTCTGAATCATTAAATATACATTATACAGCATAATTTTATAGTAAATTTTACCTGCATATAATTTTTTCCTAATTCTACATTTTTGAAAAGAATATGCTAACATTTAAATAATGATATTTCCTTTCGCAAAGATATCTTTTACTTGGTACAAAACACGCTATTTATAAATATGCTGTATTCTTTGATATTACAGATAATGTGAGTTTTATTTAATTGCAATGTTGAACATCTTTGTTAAGATTAATTCAATATTTATAGGAAGCTATTTTAAAACTTGTAAATAAATACATTCACTTATGTACACACTTTGCTGCTGCATTTATTTTATAAATTTTGATTCAAATTCTGAACAATAAATTGTCTTAAGCTTATCAGTGAGTCACAGAAATTTTCAACTCTTTCCCACATAATTAAATCAAATTCAGTGAAATTTAAGTACACTTTGAACTTTGTATCTCTTTCATGTCCTGAGTTACATAATTTGATCTCTTTATTCAATATTTTGTCATTCAAATATAAATGCCATAAATGGTAATTGGGCCCGATCAGTTTCTAGACCTTTATTAAAAGGAGCGTGGCTTTCTTGATCTATTGATAACATTTTTTTCTTGTGCTGATATAATGTATTCACCAAAAAGTAATTACTTTAAGTTAAAAACAATAAATAAAATAATTTAAATCACAAAAAATGTGCACACACACTAAATAATGTTGGAAAAGACAGTTATTTATCATTAAATATCTCCACTACTTTTGCATATAGACTGTTGACAACTTAAAGACACATATCCCTTTAGGGGAATGATGGATGAAATTTGCTAGAGCCACATAATGCTGAGATTATCAAGGGATTAGAGATCTGAGAACTAAAGTAAGACTAGCAACATCTAAATCGCTATTTGAGAGATGTTAAAAGAGCAGGTGTGTGGCTCTGGAGTATGACTGATCTAATACTAAATATCATGCTGCGTTAGACTGAGAGTAAATATGTTGTTTGAAGCCTTCCCCACCAAATATCATGTATGTTATTTCCAATTTTTCAGTATATCCACTGAAGCAAAACACCATTTCAAAGATCACATGGATTTATGATGAACCCCGTATCAGAGAAACCTAAGAGTTGAATTTCCTTACATAAATTCTACTAATTAGCACACAAATGAATGTTCACCTTTTCGCAACTCGGTCCTTCTAGTCTTCTTTGGATAAACTGAAAGGAAAACAATACATGTGTATCAATTACCACAATTTATAGTACAATATTATGAGTTTCAACTTAAACTAGGATGCTGTATTCATTACCATTAAAATTATTCTTATACAGAATGTCAATAAATAAATTTCTTTTCATTTTTTCTAAAGATTAAAGTATTTTAACATAATACCTTCTCAAAAAACATGTTAAAAGTTTCTAACACATTTACAAAAATAAGAATTCATGGTGAACTCAGTTTACTGTTCAAAACATCTGAGATTAAGATAGTTATTTATTAAAATAATGTAAAATATGAAAGTAATTCAAACAGCCTACTTTGCATATAAAACAATTTCTATAGAAGATTGGGAGTAGGGGTGGAAGAAACCAGAAGTATCTCCTTCCCTGATTCCTTCCCTGCCTCATTCTCAACCCAATTATAATTTCATTATTATTTCCAAGTACAGAGGAGAAATGAAGCAAAAGTTATCTGGGACATATTTTTTGATTTAACCTCACAGAATTAATGGAATTACTCCACTCAAGGACTAGAATGCTTCTTGTCTTTGACTCATTATATTTCAAGAATGGATTCTAAGTTCTAATTTAAATGATAGATAATGAATTTCAGATTGATATACATGAAATTTTATTTGTTCATGTAAACATTAGGAAAGCTGAGTGATATTTGTTTTGTTTTATAATCATTTGTTTTACAGAGAAAATCTTTGTTCAAGGCAGCTTATAATTAGTTAACTACTTGTGTGGTGAGAGAGAGGAGAGAGGGAGAGAGCATTTTGGAGAGTAAAACGTCCATGAAAGAGAAAGTAAGGGGGCCTATCTCCTTTTTGAGTTTTACTATGTTTTATTCAATAGTGTTTTAAAAAAGAAATATATATGATATACATTAAAGAGTTATACATAATTCTAATTGTATTTTAAATATTAAATAAAACATAGTTTTTTTGCATTGTAAATAACAAACCCTCAATTGATGTTTTTTAATTAGATAGTGGATCATCGTAATAAGCTTACATTAAAATATTTTAATGTAAAACTAATGTTACAGTTTTAATTTATGAGGGCAAGGAAAGAGTATAACATATAAACAGTACATAAGACTAGAGTACTAAATAATAATTTTTATTCTGTTTTGCCTACTGACAACAGCCATATGATGGGAACATAGAAATGCTTGATTTCAATGTTATGCAATATTAATAGCGATAACTATTTGGTTTGTTTCTGGTTTCATTCCAAGTCAGATTAATTTGGCTGGTATAAACATGAACTAACTCAAATAATGTGTTTTAGCACTTTGAAATTTTAACCGTATTTATATTACTAATGATTATCTTTGAGGATTCCGAAAATAACAACCGTGGACACCCAATTTAATGGATTTTTATGCCAATTACAGTCTAAAAAAATAGAGAGAGAAGAATAGAGAGAAGAGAGAGAATTATCCAAATTCTCATATTTTCCTAGACTTACATAGAACATAATGTTTATTAATGATGTCTTAAGGAGAAATGAGAGTATGTTTTACTAATTCCCATTGTAGTAATTCCTCGAACTCCAACTTATATGAATTCATATTTTAAACATCTTACTATGAATATTAAAATGTAATATCCAACAAATTGTCATAATTATCTGATACTTTTTATTAATTGTAATGGTTTTTTTCCTCCATTCTTCATCTTTTTCTCTTCTGTTGGAGAAGAGGAGGGTAAAATCTGAATGCTAACTTTTAATATTTATTTGTTGAAGTCAGCATAGAAAATCTATAGGAAGAAGACTCTTGTTACCAAATAGGTATTCATACTTCCAAACAAATAAAACATGAAATGACAAAGTTAAAAATAAAGAGAATGGAAAAAGTATTTACATGATCTTTAATACCCTGTGGAGAAAATTCCTACGAAAAGCCACAAGTCACAGTTAGCCCAACCAATAAAATAGTAATTAATCTAAACAGCATACTTTCTAGAGCCTTTAAAGATGTTTCAGGAATTGGTGCTCCATGAAATTAAATGTAACACGTTTAACCTTGCTGTAGAATCTGCTTGTCTAGAAAGCTAAGTGGAAATTTGATCTCTTTCATCTAATTCTTTAATTTCCCACACTACATTATACCTATTTTTCAAAAAATAATAATCAAAGACAATGTTGTTGTTTAGGCTACAAAAAAAAAGCAACTAAACCAAAAGACAAATATTTTGAAAGCCATGTGTCTAGAGGTCATTTTAAAAACTATATCTTTAAAATTTGTTAACTTTTTTTAACATGCCTCTATTATTATAGAGGTAAGTACTCCAAAGAAAATTATACATAGTTGGAAACAATTAACAAAACAACTTTATATGCAAAACGACAGCTCAGCATACTTATCAAACTAAACACATTCACAGTTTCTTTTCTCTGAAATATTTGGCTTGCCTTTATTCTTAGGCATGGTAGTTTACAAGCTATAGTTCTCATTGGTCTTCCCAAAGAAAACAAAACTTCAGCTTCCGAGCCTTAATATGTAAGATATAAATCATATTTTGATTTTTTGTTCCCTATACTCATACCATCTTCCCTTTATCACTTAGAAAATGATATGAATTTCTATAATGAGACAATTTATATAATTCTGTCAACAAATGCTGCTTAAATAAGTAGCACATATATTAAACAAAAACCAACAAAAATTTCTTGAAAGAATCACATGGCCCTTGGTTAACTGTAAAATAATTAGATTCTTAGCATAGAGAGAACCGTTTTTGAGAGACTTCCATAATATTCACATCTTATCATGGCAACTAAGCAGTATTTTTTACAAATGAATAAAAATGTAAACTACTTCTAGCATAATGAAAAAAATATATATAATTTAGTGGATAGAGACATTAGCAGTTGTGACAGGATAAAATAACAACACGTTGATGTCGTGATATTCTAATGTTTCCGAGTCCTTTCAAACCTACAGTCCACATTATTTACTTGAAAGGATCTTTCCCTTGAGCAAGTAGTATAAGCATTAGTTTAAATAACATGAATGATTTTGGTCTATGCGGTCATCACACCTTCAACGTGCACACGAAGGAATTGAGCTTCAGAGAGTAACAAGTGACAGTCAGGACTGAAACAAAACAAAGTTTTTATCAAGTTTATTATTTTTTTCTTTATTAAATTGTTTTTCTTTCTTTCTTTTTTTTTTTTTTTTTGGGGGGGAAAATCAACCCTGAGCTAACATCCAATGCCAATCTTCCTCTTTTTGCTGAGGAAGATTAGCCCTGGGCTAACATCTCTGCTCATCTTCCTCTATTTTACATGTGGGATGCTGCCACAGCGTGGCTTGATGAGTGGTGTGTAGGTCTGTGCCCAGGATCCAAACATGTGAACCCCGGGCCACCAAAGCAGAGTGCATGCACTTAACCACTATGCCACCTGGCCAGCCCTAAATTGTTTTTCTAATTATAAAAATAGTATGTCTATCTTTATAGGAAATCAATTAACTATGGTTGTGTGGTCTATTTCTAGACTATTTATTCTGTTCCATTGATTTCCATCTATCCTTACACCCATATCTTTCTGTTCAATTTTGGCAGCTCTAACTGAACACTTGAAATCAGACAGTGTCAAGTCCTTTAAATCTGCTCTTTTATTCAGCATTGTTTAGCCATCTACGGCTTTTGTATTGCATATTAATTTTAGAGTTGACTAATTAATTAATATAAAAGCAGAATGGAATTTGATTGGTAGAGGGTAGAATTTCCTGATCTATTTGGGGAGAATTTACATCTTAACAACAATATCTTTCAATCTATTAATATGTTTTATATCTTTATTTTTTATGTGATTGGGTTGTCTCTGAATAAAAACAGTTATGTTTACTTTCCAACTATGTGAACTCCCCCTTTATTTTTTACCTTAATGCACCAGCTGGGACCTCCATTACAAGATCTAAAAGAAGTGGTGAGTGAACATCCTTTATATTATTTCCAATCTTAGGAGGAAAGCATTTATTCTTTCACTATCATGTATGACGTTGACTGATGATTTTTAATAGATGTCCTTTATCACGTTGAGGATATTTTTATTATGAATTGCCAATTAATTTTGTTAGTTGCTTTTTCCATATTTTTTGAGATGTTCATATGTTTCTTCTCCTTTGATGAATATAGAGATTAAATTTTGAATATTTACCCAATCTTGCATGCCTCCATAAACCACACTTGGTCATAATGTATTATCTGTTCATATTGTCCTGAATTTGATTTGCTATTATTTTGTTAAGATTTTTTGTGACTATATTCGTGAGAGAAATTGGGTCTGTAGTTTTATTAATTGTCTTTATATGGTGTGATATGAAGGTAATGCTGATTTCATATTATAAATTGGGAAGTGCTCCCTCCTTTTCTATTTTCTGAAAGAATTTCTATTGAGTTTAAGTTATTTCTATCTCAAATGTTTGATAGAATTCACCAATTAAGTCATCCAGGCCTGGAGTTTTCTTTGTTGGAAGTTTTTTATTTGCAAATTTAATTTATTTAGTATAGAGAGAGCTATTCAGATTTTCTATTATTTTTCCTTGTAATAGTTTGGATAATGTTTGTCTTTCACGGAATTGTCTGTTTTATCCAAGTTGTTAAATGTACTGGCACCAATTTGTTTGTAATATTCCCTTATCATCTTTTCAATGTCTGTAGGATCTGTATCTATGCTTTCACCCTGATATTGGCTGTTTCTGTTTTTTCTCTCTCTCTCTTTCATCTAGCTAGAGTTTCATCACTTTTATTGATATTTTCAAAGAACCACCGTATAGTTTCATTGATTTTCTCTATTGTTTGTCCATTTTCTATGTCATTAATTTCTGCTTATCTTTCTTATTTCCTTCCTTTGCTTATTATGGGTTTAATTTACTCTTCTATTCCCAGTTCCTTGAGGATTACTCTTAAAAATGCATCTTAAACTTTTCATTTTTCTAGTAAAATATTTATAGCTGGCGATTTCTCTCTAAGCACCACTTTAGCTGCATCCCACAGATTTTTCACCTTGTGTTTTTGTCATCATTCAGCTCACACTATTTTCCATATTCCAAATATTTGGGGTTTATAAGGTATTTTTCTACCATTGATTTTTAATTTCACTCCTTTTTTGTCAGAGAAATACTTTGTATGATCGCGATACTTTTAAATTTTCTTAAGAAAATTTGGTCCTGCATATGGTCTGTCTTGGTGACTGTTTTATGTGCACTCAGGATAAAGGTATGTATCCTGCTGTTGTTGAGGAGAGTGTTCTATAAATGTCAATTATGTGAAGTTGGTAGATAGTGTTGTTCAAGTCTTCTATATCCATACTGATTTTCTGTTTAATTGTTCTATTAATTAATGACAAATGTATGTTGAGATATCTAAACTGAACTGAGGAACTATTTTCTCTTCCACTTCTGTCAATTTTTTTCTTTGAAAAATTTGAAGTTCTGTAATTGAGGCATATACGTAGGCACTGCGGATTGTTATGTCTTTTTGATTAATTGGCCCTCATCCTTATATCTTCCCTTTCTCCTGCTGATATTTCTTGTTCTATAGTCTACTTTTACTAATCATTCTTATGATTAGTGCTTGCATGCTATCTTTTTCTATTCTTTCACTTTTAACCTAAATATTACATGTAGTTCTTGATGTGCCTTGTGTATTAAGTCTAATATCTGCCTTTTAATTGGAGTTATTACACCATTAAATGTTAATGTAATTGTCATTATGGTTGAGTATAAATCCCTAGCTATTTGTTTTCTACTTTTCATCTGTTTTTTGTGCCTGTTTCCCTCTTTCCCTGTCTTTAGGATTAATTGAGTATTTTAATGACAATTGTATCTTCACTACTGGCCTATTTGCTATATCTCCTTGTTTTATTTTTTAGTGGTTATTCTAGGGTTTTTAATACATATCTCTAATTCATGACAATTTGGCTTCCAGTAATTTACACCATGTTCGCCGATAGTGTTGGAACCTTACAGCAGTAATCTCATATTTTCTCCCTCCTTTCTTGCGTGCTGTAGAACTTAAATTCTTAAATATTACTCACAATGCAGGTCTGTTAGCAACAGATTTTCTCAGATATTGTTGATCTGAAAAAGTGTTTATTTTATCTCCATTTTAAGAGTATTTTAATAGATCTAGATTACTAATTGGCAGTTATTTTTTCTTCCTTCAGCTCTTTAAATAAGTTGTTTTATTTTCCTCTCTTGTGAATTGTCTCTTGATGAGAAATTTGTGATTTTTTTGATCTTTATTCCCTTATACCTAATATATCATTATTCTAGCTCTTTTTAAGATTTACTTTTTATCCCTTATTTTCAGCAATTTGATTATTATATTTATTTGTGTTGTCGTCTTTTTCTTTGTTTATTCTTTTTAGAATTTGTCAAGGCTCTTGGTTCTACAAGTTACAGTTTTCATCAAATGTGGATTATTCTTTGCCATTATTCACATATTTCTTCTGCCTCTACCCCCAGGACTTCAATTACACATTATGATAACTCCTTGATATTGTGTTATGGGTTATTGGGCTATATTCTTTTTTGTTTGCTTCTTTAGTCTTTTTTTTCCCCACTGTGCTTCATTTTCAAACAGTTTCCATTGCTCTTTCTTTAAGTTTACTGACCTTTTCTTCTATAATGTCTAATCTGCTCTTAAGTTCATCTGGTGAGTTTCTTATTTTATATATTGTGTTTTTCAGGTTTAGAATTTCCATTTAGTTGTCTTTTATATCTTACATGTTTCTCCTTATTATGTTCATGCTTTCTTTAAATCCTTTAGCATATTTATAATAACTATTTTAAAGTCTTTGTCTGCTAATTCCATTACCTGTCATTTCTCTGTTTCAATTGAGTAATTTTTCTTCTAATCATGGATCCCAATTTGCTTCTTCTTTGAATGTTTAGTATTTTGGGGGGGATTATGGATATTTTTTAATATCATGCTGTTGGCTGCTGGATTTTATTATTTTCCTTTAAAGAATGTTGAAGCGCCTTTTGGCAGGTAGTTAAGTCACTTGTGGGTCAGCTGGATGTTTTAAGGTTTGCTTTAAGCTTCATTACGGCAAGTCTAAAGAAGGCTTTATGCTAGGTCTAATTTAGTCCTAGTACTAAATTAAATGCTAAATTTCTCTCGTTGTGTGGGAGCTGTGGGAATTGTTCCGCTTACAAATCCTTATAACTATTTTCTCAAACTCACAAAATTTCACCAAATGCATGCAGTTTTATTATTCAGTGACAAACTCAAAGGGACCCTTATCCAGATTTTTGAGCTTTTTCTCTACATATGTACATTCTTTCTCACATATTGTCCTCCCAAATCCAGCCACCTCACTCTCCCAATCTCCAATCTCGATGTCCTTACCAGGAAGACCACCATGGCTATGCTTGGCTCCCCTTCCATAACTGTGGTCCAGAAGTGCCTTCATGTGGAAAGCTGGGGAGATTGGATGTCTCACCTCACGTGTTTTCCTTCTCTCAGAGATCACTATCCTGCACTGCCTTTTGATCAATGTCTGCAAACAGTTACTTCATATATTTTGTCCAGTTTTTTAGTAATTTATATTAGGAGAGGAAGTTCAGTTCTAGTTACTCCATGATAGCTGAAGATGGAATTTTCTCCTTAGGTGATATTTCTCCCAGCAATACTTTTTCTATGTGCCAGCTTTAACTTTAACAGTAGCTTACTATATAAAACACTCAGATATTAAAACAATAGTATCAAGTGGCTTTTGAAGAGATAATGGGGAGATGGGGGCAAGAGATTTATATTTATATGCTAGGCAGTAATGATGCTTTAGAAGACATTATAGGGCAGTCACTGAAGAAAAGATGATTATATTTGATTAATTTCTAAAGAAAAGGGTAACTTTTGCACAATGGTGAAATAAAAGGTTTGTGAATTATAAAAAAGAAACAGGTATGTATTTCAAGGAAGAGGCTAGTTGATGAAAATAAGTAGCTGCTAAACGACAAAGTGAGGATTACAAAGAATGAGGCATCTGGGCCTCTAGCCAAGGTGCTGAATCTGAGTGATATTCAAGTCAATGCAAAAGAATACTTGGCTCAGCACGGAAGAGAACCGGGTATAGAAATCTGTGATGAATGGAAGATGACCAGGCAATCACAAAAACTGAAGGCACCGCAGAGGACCGCTGACATGCCTAATCTGTGTCAGTAACACTTCTAGCACATCTATGGAGTAGAAAGAAGGAAATACGTGCTCTGAGGTCAAAGAAATATATTCACATCAATTCTTTTCTGTCAGTTCTGGAGCATACAACAAAGCATCTCATAGAGTCACAGAGGAGAGAAGTGCTCTCTTTTCACCACGTTGAGATTTTCCCAAAACCAAGAGCATCATGATACCAAGGCTGTTTTGTAAAAGCTGTTTTGGAAAGCATTGTCAGAGTGAGAATGCAGAGCTGCCTGCTTTGCAAAAAACAAGACACAGTGTTTGTTAACAACTAAGGGTACCATCTCTATAGCTCTATGATTCAATTCAACTAGCTCTAAGAACATGCTATGAGGGAATTAGGAACTAGGAACTGGGGCAATAAAGACAAGTCAGATTCTTCTATCTCTCAAGTAGCTCACAATTCAGAAGAATAAAACTGAGATAAAAACATTCAAAATTTTGACCAATAATTCTTTGGAATTTATCTCAATGAGAAGTAAAACCATGTAATTTGTAAAATTTGTAAAAAAAAATGCTTTAATAGGATTAAAGCAGAATAAAAGTGTCCAATCAAGTTTAATAACAATGTAATATGATGTGCTTTTAAACCTTATAACTTAGTAAAAATATGAAAAGAAAAGTTGGGTTCAGCAAAGTCTTTGTGGGTCGGCAGGTATGATATTTTCTTTTCTACAGTCTTCCAGGGTTCCAAAGAGAATGACTTAACTTTCATGTATATATTTCTACTCTCTGATGCAGCTTAGAATTTTCTAATTAGCAGCTATTGAGAGCCTCAAAGTGGATTGTCAGATTCATTATCTTGAAAGGGGACACCTATGGGATCATTGTGTTGATAAAAGAAAGTCTACGTCAATGTGACTAACAATTTCTTAGCTGCCTAGAGAGGCTGAATTACACTCATTTCATTGCAGATATAAAACCCGTTCTGCGAACTTAAGTGTTTTTCTTCTCTCTTTATTATGGAGAAGAGTATAGGACAATAGGCTTAATATATCTTAAACGATTGATAGGACAAAAATGAAAAGCAATAGTTGAACATGAAAGCTGAAAAAGTAAAAAAAAAAAATTCCTTGGAATGTTTAAATAGTTTTAACATTTTTCTTCTAAAGTATCAAATCTATGATTAACTCTAATAACTCTAAAGGCACCTGGGTGATAAGTGGCTCCAGAAACCTACCTCTTGTACATGTTTCTTTGCACTCTTCCAGGCTTTCAAATCGATTCCGATTTCCTTCACAGCCCCCGTATACAAATTCTTCACACTGCTGAGTGTGAACGTTGAAAAAAAACCTCTTGATCAATGCTCTGCAGGGGCCTTCGTCCGCCTTCAAGGCACAAAATGAATGTACAAGTTTCAGTGGTGGTAACTCAGCATCTACAAGGTAAAAAATAAAAGATGTAACATACAATCCATCATCAACCCCGTAATATTCTTTATCTCCCTTTTAATACATCTTAATTTTAAGGAAAAGTACAATAATAAAACAGGCTGATATAAGAAACTCTGAAAAGTTATTCAAAGTTATCAAAAAGGTAGATAAAGTTTATAAACTCATCAAATGAGACAAGTCTTATCAAATTTTATTAATCAAATATTAATTATGATTAACGATTAATTACGATTAACTATTATTAATAAACTATTAAAGGAAAATGTAGAATAATTTTTCTAGACTTTTGTTATACATATTGCTTAAACCTGTACTAGTTGACGCATATGGAATCGAGTGGAAGTTGTAAGGTAACTGATGTGTTACATTACCAGTAAGTAGAGACCTCTTTTTTAATTCAGCAGTTTTTAAGGGCAGATGTTAATGGATAATTTTTTGAGTTCCTCTCCCTAATCCACAGCTGTGTCATTTTTACACATGAAACAACTATTTACAAGCAACATTATCAGGGCTGATACACGATCCCAATCCTCATGAAAACAAACCAAAAAAAGCAACAGTATATTTGTATTCACATATGTATCTGTGTATCATACTATGTTAAACCATTCCCTAATTATGAAAATTTAGGTGTTTGACATTGCATATATATGCTTTTACTTACCATGATTGGTTTTTAACAATGGTGAGAAAACTTAAACAATGCTTTCTATATTTTAAAATAGAATGAGGCAATTCTTTTGACCCTGAGTTATAATTTTTCCCTAGATATTCAGTCACTTATTTTCATCATAGAAGAATTTCCTATCTTGGGAAGGGAAAAATCAACTAAAATTTTTAAATTTGATTTTTATCAGGTCTAATATTATTAATAGAGGCCTCATTTTAAATAAGTTGTGAGTGTCTACAGAATCTATCGGTAAGACAGACACTGAAAATTCTGGATGGTACAACCAAAATAGTAATGCCCAAAGAATACCATATAATATTCCTTGAGTATTGTCTGTGTATTGAGTCTATGTCTTTTCTATGTCTTTCACTATTCACTATGATTCCTTATGGAGGATACTGAAACCTTAAGAAGACCTAAACCAATTTACTCTTTAAAGATTTTATTTATTTTTATTTTTTCCCCACAAAGCCCCAGTAGATAGTTGTATGTCATAGCTGCACATCCTTCTGGTTGCTGCATGCGGGAGGCGGCCTCAGCATGGCCGGAGAAGCAGTGTGTCGGTGCGCGCCCGTGATCCGAACCCAGGCCGCCAGCAGCGGAGCGCGCGCACTTAACACTAAGCCACGGGGCCGGCCCCAATTTACCCTTTAGAGGGCAGCAGAATTCTAGTAAATTAAGTTGAAGTATCTTCAAACAAAGTGTTTTAATGCACTATAAAATAATTTACTTTGAAAAAAGAAACATGAATTGATGTCACTTTAATACTTTTACGTAAAATATTTTAAAAACATGAGCTGAAAGACAGGTTTGTTAGTGTATGATCATCTAGAAAGAAATCAATTTTAATTTTCCTATAATTTCAAAACTGAATTTTTGAAAGAGAAAATATGCATATCATAAAAATTGGATTAGATAATTTTATTCTCTTCTACCCTTAATATTTTATCCGAATGGTCCACACTGAATTAATGTCAAGAATTGTCATATTTCAAATAATGTTAAAACTTTTTATAAAAAAGTAATTGGAATGTTATTTTTTATTTTCTGAGTTATGAAAGGATAAGTAGGCCTTGCAGTCTTGGAAGGGTTAAAAATCAAGCCTTCTATACATGAGTGGATATTATTACACTGCTTGATTTATTTGACACTAATTATTTATGCATATGTGAATTATATCTTAACCACTAATGCAACTTATAATTTAAAAAATCCGAGGTTAATTTGTAAAATACCATATTACCATTTTGATTTCTTTGATAATAGAATAGACCATTTTCTTCAAGTGAAATAAATTGGGCTGACAGAAATGATAGTACAGTAAATTTTCAGACCCAAAACTTGATGAGGTAGAATAATGTATAACATAGATTTGTCATGATACATACACATTATCTTCAAAAGACACAGTTACTTTCAGAACCACACACAGTTTTCATGAACTGGCTAATTAGCAAGTTATAATACTGGTCAAATCTCTAACATTGAATTTTTTGCACCTGTGCATTCTAGTGTTTTCAACTTTCTCTGGGTTATGTTCAATGAACAAAATATAATTTGGGTGTTTACCAATATGATATTTTTTATAATTTTTACACCAATTATATAGTGTCCCTAAAGCCAATCAATCTCTGTAATATATATGTAAATAACTTTATCAAAGTGAGTTAATAACTGTTGATTACCATATATAAATTTAAATCTCATTCCTTTTCTTTCTAATTATTTACATAACATTTTATGCTGATGAACTTATCTGCAATACAATTAGCTTTAAAAAGTATCTCAAGTCAAAAGTTTCTATTACTGGGGCTGGCCTGGTGGTGTAGTGGTTAAGTTTGGCATGCTCCACTTCAGCAGCCCGGGTTTGCAGGTTCGGATCCTGGGTGCGGGCCTACATCATTTGTTAACCACGCTGTGGTGGCAACCCACATACAAAATCGAGGAAGGTTGGCATAGTTGTTAGCTCAGGGCTAATCCTCCTCAAGCAAAAAAAGAGGGAGATTGGCAACATATGTTAGCTCACAGTGAATCTTCCTCAGCAAAAACAAAGTAAAAGAACTTTTGTATTACTTAAAAATATGGATACTTCAGAATTATAATTTTCCTTAAATACTTTTAGACTTTTCTGAAATTCTTTATTTTTCTTAAATTATATACACAAGTACTTTTTTCTATAGATATTCATAATATATACAATAGCATTTTAGAGTGTTGATGAAAATATTTTTCATAGATAAATATCTGTACATAAACAAAAAATGACTTATGAAAAATGTTTTTCCTTTCATCATTGACGTTATAATTGTCAATTTGAATTAAAAAATAATTGAAAGCATTTTATGGGTAGTACATTTATGAGTAATTGTAAATGCTTTTTATATTCCCTTTATTTAAATATTAAGAATTCTATAACTGACACTCTGAGTTGTTAAAAAGTTGTGAGAAGCTAGAAAACTGCATCAAAGACCCTCAGCGGTGCCCTTGACTGAGAGCAGGCCCACAACAGCATCAGTGAATTAGCACTATGTATTTGTCTACTCTAGACACATTTCTACAGGACTGACAAAATTTGACCTATGAGTTCCATAAATATTTCATTTTAGAATCAGACCTCAGAAGTCACATAAATAATTTTGAGAAGTGAGCTAGGAGTAAAAATATTCTGCCATTTTGAATCTTATGGTTTTATACCATTATTTCAGAAACTCCTATAGCATTTCTCATATCAGATGATGGTCCCGATTCCCAAGTTAATGTTACTTAAGAACTTTACAGGCACCAAGAAATTGAAACAATACTTCAGACAGGCACCTGTAATATGGATCTCCAACTGTAGAGCACAGGAAGTTTTACTCAGTACCTCAGTTGCCATATATATTCAGGAAAACTATTTCTTATAAATCAGTAATTTATATCAGTTCTTTATCATCGATGATTCCTCTGCTTTTGACTCTTAATATATTAGATATTCCTTATCATCACGCCAAATCTTTTATTTCACATTTTCTGTGTTAAGAATACGCAACCCCAAGTTCGACCTGCTATTTCGTAATTATGCCACCAGGTGGCGGCAGGGCACCACGAAAACGCAAGACAGTACCCGGTAATTGTAGCATTCCTCCTGGTAGTAATCACAGCTAATGTCGTTTACTGAGTAATTACTGTCCTCCATATATTTCGTAATTATATTATTTAATGATCACAACAACCCTCTGAGTTAGGCATTATTATCTCCATTTTACGAATTGTAACAAAAGCACAGCAGAAATTAATTGCTCAGTTCACACCATAAGTGAGGGCTTTAGTATTGACGCCCACGTAGCTTTACACCAGGTACCTCACACCTTCTTAGTAATTGAGTGATACTGTCACAGATCTCTGTGACTGAGATTCCTAAATTGGCATTTAGGTGAAGCACATAGACTTAATTATATAATTTCCACTCAATAAATTTTTTTCTAAAATTCAGTTTATAAAAACTAAAAAAGTTTTCAATGATGAAAGTAGGTGATGATTTTACACCAATTTCCTAAGGAAAACACTAAGAATTAACTTTTATTGACTGTATTTTGTTGTTAGCTAATTATTTGTCTTTACTATTAGAATTTTAATGCATTTCTTATGTGAATCCTGGATTAGAAAATTCTTTGTGCAGTGAGCTTGCAACCGGCATTTGGGGGAGCATCCCTAAGGTGGGGGAGTGATCAGGTGTGCCCTCTTGGACACAGGGCCATGCATGCCACTCCACTCAGGAGGGTGGAAGTCTGTCTTGTTTTCATTTCTTACTTTGGGTAAACCTTTTTGAAAGTTAATCGTCAGGTGTTGATCATGTGTCAGGCACTGTGCTGCCATGGCAGATATGATAGTACATCTGTGGCGGCAGCACCCTCTCTCATGGAGCGTTCAGACACTAAAGACTTACACAAACATTCAAGGAGCTCGGGATGTTGTGTGAGCGTATAATCAGACACTTAAGCTTGTCTGAGGGGGTCAGGGAGAACTTTCCTTTTCTTTTCTATTTTTTTGTGAGGAAGGTTAGCCCTGAGCTAGCATCCGATGCCAATCCTCCTCTTTTTGCTGAGGAAGACTGGCCCTGGGCTAACATCCGTCCCCATCTTCCTCTACTTTATATGGGACGCCGCCACAGCACAGCTTGACAAGCAGTGCATCGGTCTGCACCCGGGATCAGAACCCGCGAACCCTGGCCCCCGAAGCAGAGCGCGAATTTAATCACTACACCACTGGGCTGGCCCCAGGGAGAACTTTCCTGAGATTTAAAACCAAGACTTGAAGAAAGTGTTGACAGTGACAAGGAATTGTCCAAAACCATGAAATTGGAAAACACATATGGGGCATTGTAACAGCAATTTCATCTGATGCAGAGAGATAGACAGGATTATGGTTTGTATTTAATTATTTTTGTAATTGATTTCTTGTATTTTATGTCTCACCGTCTGAGGATTGCAGTCTCACTCTCCCATCCCCCTGTCTGGGATGTTGGATGGAAGGCTTCTGATAATATTTGGGGTATGTCATACCCTTCCTTGACTGCGAGAATCCTCCTTCTTCTGGAACGTGTTTGGGAAACTGGAGCTTTGAGGCTGCTTACTGTTTAAGAGTCTATATGCTATTTGACTGACCAAATGATTTGATTTCTCTGAAAGGGAAGAACAAAGACATGTACTCTTTGCCTTCTCTGTGCCAGAAAATGTGCCACATGCTCTTATGCAGTTTGTGTAAGAACCATATGAGTGCGGTTATTTACATCACTTATTTATAGATTAGGACACGACGAGTCAGAGAGTGTACATAACTCATCCAATTTTGCAAAGCTACTGTGTGGCAAATCACACAGGCAAACTTAGGTCTGTCTGATTCTAAATCTTATGCTTGCCTTTCTCTAAATGCTTCCTGCTATCTTCTCTCTCTCAGTCCAAAGGAATTTAAAAAAAAGTTCATCATCACTGTTTTTTATTATCCTTTTTGTTTTATTGAGAAGGTTATTCTATTTCATCCTCCCTGGTGGTTGGCCTGATTAAAAAAAAGTTTACTATTGACTTGTGGGAGAAGCCATAAAATCTTGTATGTTTTTTTCCCCAAGATATGTAGTGCTTGTTTATTTTGCAATAGTTTTAGATTTACAGAAGGGTTGTACAGATAGAACGGTTCCCTACACCCTTCACCCAGCTGCCCTCAAGTTCACATCTTACATAACTAGGGTACACTTATAAAACTAGGAAGTTAACATTGGCACACACTATTAATTAAATCGTAGACTTTATTTGGATTTCACTAATGTCCTTTTTCTATTCCCGCATCCAATCCAGGAGACCACATCATTATGTCTCCTTAGTGTCCTACCGTCCGTGACAGTTTTTCAGTGCCTGCTACTATAAATCAGGGGTTCTCAGCCCGAGGTGTCCACTGGAATCACCTGGGAAGCCTTTGAAAGGCACCGAGGCCAGAACCACGCACCAATTACATCAGAGTTGCTGGGTGCAGGCGGGATGAGCATCACTGTTTCCTAAAGCTCCTAGTGATTCTGATGTGCAGCCAGCCAGAGTTGATATACTGCTCTTAAAATATCAGAATTCCTACTCGTCCGGCCAAAGTTCTTCTTGGTATGGGAAAATGACTATTTCTAAATTAATTGTATGTTTTTCTATAAAATGATAGTACACTATTTCAATGAAATGGTATACTTCTATAAAATGGTGGCCTGACCTTGGCATAATGTCATAAGTGGTATCTCCAAAATTGAATTGATGCAGATACAGGAGGGTGCTACTGCCAGATTCATTAAAAACAAAACAAAAATAGAATAAGACTGTGCAGCTGGTTAGCTAAGTGGTCTTCAAGTCTAGCTTTAAGATCAAAATATTTTCTTATCCAGCTGGGTTTGGTTTGGATTTATCTGGAGATTTTAAATTCTGGCTGAAATATTGATGGGTTAATTCTGATTTCTCGGCTGACTGCGGAAGCAGTCACAATTTCAGGAACTTCCTGGTTAACTGGCATGCATTTTCCCAGCCTAATGGAGGGAGATCGGACGAGGTGAATATTGGGAACTTGGACCCTTTCTCCTCCCAGTTCCTGAGATGGGGTTGCCTGCTTTTTCCCTGTTGGAACTTACTTTCTCCTCTACATATTACAGCCTCCAGAATATTAGAACTTGAGCCATCCTTTTGAGAAATGAGCCAAATGAAGGACTAGAGCTCACCTCATGATGCCCAAATTCCTATCTTCATAAGGCACGTTATGGTTTTTGCTTTATTAAATAGTGTTCCATCTTTAGGAAATTTTTATCGCAACATGTATTTTTTTTTTTTTTTTGGTGGCATGTAACCATAAGCCTTTATTTTCAGTCACAGGTCAGATGTGAGCGGCCCTGTTGATCCCATCTGGGTTTGCGTCTCATCTACTGGTCAGCTGGGGCTGATCTCGGCTGGCCTGCCTGGGCAGCTGGGCTTCAAGCTGTGGGTCCCGCTGGGGCAGATCTTCAGATCTGCTCCAAGTGTCTCATTCTTGGGTGCGGGATGAAGTGATGTCACAGGCACCTCTTGGCCGCTTCGCCCTGCCAAGCTCTCAGATCACCAAGCTTGGTGAAGTCGCCATCCTCTCTGTATCAATAGCAGCACCTTATGCGTGCCTCTGTCACTTCACTTACTACATTACACTGAAATAACCTATCCACACTTCAGTCTCCCCTGTGAAACTGTGAGATTCTTGAGAACCTGGTCTCAGTCATCACTGCTTCCCTAGCACCTACCACAATTTCAGGCACATAAAATTTACTTATTTAGTCTTTATCAAAGGGAAGTACGCTGAACAAAATCACCTTAAAGAGCTGTTAGAGATGTGTAATAAGAATGTATTTATTGGGCCGGCCCCGTGGCTTAGCGGTTAAGTGCACGTGCTCCGCTGCTGGCGGCCCGGGTTCGGATCCCGGGCGTGCACTGACTCACTGCTTCTCTGGCCATGATGAGGCCGTGTCCCACGTACAGCAACTAGAAGGATGTGCAGCTGTGACATACAACTATCTACTGGGGCTTTGGGGGAAAAATAAATAAATTAAAAAAAAAAAAAAAGAATGTATTTATGGACGTCTTTTGTACATCATAAATACAAACAGAAGCTATCACTTTGTTCATATTCTCTCACTATTACCAATGACTTGAGAATTTTATCAGTGATTTACTGATTTGCTACAAAATATTGCTTGTAAGAAAGAAATAAATCCATGATAACAATCACTGTACAGTCTTCTCCTTGTCCTATTGTTTGATTGTTATATTTTATTTTTAGACACAGAGCTATATGGGATTAGAACTGAGTTCTATCACCCAGATCTCTTGTTGTCCTGCTTGACTAGATTCTCACATTGCACTCATCTTGCACATTCTTATTTTGGGAATAAGGGCAAGAAGGAGAGAATGGCTGCATCCACAGATGCCTGTAGTTTCCTTTTCCTTCTCGCACTTCTCCCAGTCAAAGGGTGGCATCCAAGTTCACAGCAAAATGCCCTGTAATTTTCCAGAGATACTTCAGTGTTTGATATTATAGCCTGAAAAAAAGAGAAGTCTTCCTAGCTAAAGCGACTTTTTTTGGACTAAATTTTTTTTTTTTTTTGTGAGGAAGATTGGCCCTGAGCTAACATCTGTGCAGTCTTCCTCTACTTTGTACTTGGGATGCTGCTACCGTATGGCTTGATGAGTGGTGTGTGGGTCCGTGCCCGGGATCCAAACCTGCAAACTCCGGGCCGCCGAAGCATAGCGTGCAAACTTAACCACTATGCCACTGGCTGGCCCCAGTTATTTTTTTTTTTTTTTGATACATTACATATAAGATGTTTCCCAAGAAAAATGTCACTTTGGTAAAACTAATTTTCCTACACAATGGAGAAAATAAAATTAAGTTTTAGGGTTAAAATTGAGAGCTTTGATTAGCTTAAAAAGATAGATAAATGCTTCTGACATTTTACCTGTAATGTTTGCATGTTCTTCACCTTCCTCAGGAACAGCATTAAGAGGGGCAGAGGCACAACTAAGCAGCAGACATATAGAAGCCCAAAAAATCTGTTCTTTCTTCATCATATAAATCATCTCTGAAATACAGAACACAGATATGTCTAATAAAGTGTTAATGTATATTTATCTATAGGCTAGTAAGAATCTTATGCATACCTCCAAATGTAAATTTCTATGACATTTAATGTGTATTCTTATACATCCCTGTTCGCAAATTCCATGAATCATATTTAAAAACGTGTGTATGTAGCATTCAATATTGTAGACGCACATACTTTCAGTGCATATATCTAATAATATTCAAGTACACAGGTCATATTTCAACTTTGAAAATACAAATTAAAATAGCAATAATTGAGAGACGTGGGTAAATGCTGATCAATATGGCTAAGTATGTAGTACGATCTATTTTCATATGCAATTCTATTTGCCACGTCTGTCTATAGCTATTCTTCTTTCTCAGAACTAATTATATGTTAATTTTTCTTGCCTTTTTCTATAATTTAATTAATGCAACTTTCAATTCCTGATTTCTCTTTCTTTTTTCTCTGGTCTTTGTTTTATAAAAGAAACACATTTTCCAAATTTTCCTCTTTGTTTCCTTTAAAATATATTTCTGTTTTTATAACCACTTTCCTGACCAGGTTTTCCATGAGATAGCAAACAAAACTGCTGAATAAAGAAATGTCGAACATTCCAGCCAGTCCTTTACCCCAGTTCTTCCAGCCTCAACTTAGGGAGTTATCTGATTCCAAAGAGTTTCACAGAAAAGTGGCTTTAAGTGATAAGCCAACACATTTACACTCTAGGGGAAACAGATTTCAGCAGGAGAGTGAGACTTCCTGTTTCAAAATGATTTAAAGATCTATAGCAAAAAATAATGGAAAAGCATATCTAAGTTTTTTTTAAAAGAGACTATTTCTCCTTTGGATTCAAAGGTGAAAAGAAATGTGTAATGTTCACACAGAATGGGAAGAGAAAAAGAAGGGAATGTATGCACGTGTTCAGTCACTAATGCTATCAGAGTCCGGAAGGAAAGAGAAATCTAATCAGTAAACATTCACAAACACAGGAACAGATATTCCATCAAAAACGACTTACAGAATTCTCTGTTTATGTCTGTAGTGAATCCCAGCTGCAATAGACACCATTGAGGTGTGGGTAGCCTTATAATAAATAATAAAGGCATACATGCCATTTTGCTTTACGCTTCATTAAAAATCACTAGTGCGATGTATAACCTACTTTCTCATAACACTTCGGAAACGTTAGCACATAGTTGATTTTTAGTCAGTAGCAGTGTTATATACCTTCTAAAAATCATATTATAAACTATTTGAATCCACAAATATATGTATGTATTTGTATGCATATATACACATGTATATATATTATTTTGAAGAATCTATCAGCTAAACTTTAGTTTTTATTTTATTTTTGAAAATGTGTTTTTAGTGACTCTTCTAATATTTCCATTTGATTCTTTGAGATATACAACCCGCTATACTTTGAGCGTAAAATACAGCATGTTTTTCTATCCCATGGCTTAGGGAGCAGGCTGAGGTTGGGTGCCTGCTGAGGAACTCGAAGAGAATTGGGGCTCTAAATCCATCAAGTTACTTTCTTTAAAAATAGTGGTCCAGAATGTTGCCAAATTTCAGTAGTTTTAGACTTTCCTTGGTTGGAAGAATCAGAAGCCAGCTCAGGCAGTTTGGGTTAAAGGGTCATCAGCTCATTCATTCTAGAGAAGGTAGAACACCTAAGACTAGAGAGGCAGGTTTGCAGCTGGATCTCAGAAACTACTAGTCAGGGGGCTGACCAGCACCAGGAGCCCCCCATTGCTGCTGCCCTCCTTAGATGAGATTTATTCTCACCCAGTGCAGCCCAACTTTCTCTACATAGTACGATGCATAGCTCTGATAGTTCCTGGGTTTTAAACCTGAAAGATTCTTCCATCAAAATAGTGTTACTATCTCCCTTTGTGGACCAGGTTCAAACAGCTTGAGAACAGCACTGATAGTTTCAATTTGGAAAAAGTGTCCCACCTTTTGGACCAATGTATTTGAGGTGGAAAGCTGTAGGAGACTATCATGGATTTGGTGGACCCTAAGTGGACTTATCAGGGATCGGGAATAAGAAAATGTAATAACATTGCAAATCTGATTCAAGTATTTGGTTTTGGGGACAAGTGTAGCTCCCAGGAGGAGGGGATTACTGCACCGGAAGAAAGGAAGGGTATTAGACAGATAAAACTATAAGTATGCACTACAGCAAGGCATAGCTGATTAATGGCTGATCCAGAACTTGAATTCAAGTCAGTAGATTGCTAGTTCAGTGCTCTTTTTTCTCTATAATGTTGCCTCATAGAAGTGACCGAAAGCACTAAACAATTCAGTTTCCCAGAGCAGTAGAAGACTGATTTGGGCACACCACTGAAAAAATAGTACAATTTGTTATAACACTGATAAAACTGTAATTTGTGGAGATCAATTAGAGTGAAGTGACCGAATTATATATTATTGTAGTTAACTTCTTTTTTTAAATTTCAAAATGCATCAAGTTACCTTGCAAAATGGCAAACAAGACAACAAACCCAAACTGAAGCTGTGCATTGGTTAACTCGCTTCTCACACATCCCTGTACCTTTCTGCATGCTGGCCCCATTAAAAATATGTACTACCTCATCTGGTATCATACGCAAAAATTGATTCAAGGGAACTTGAAGATCTAAATGTGAAAGATAAAACATTAAATCTTGTAGAAGAAACATAGGAGAATATGTTCATGATGAATGTGGTAAAGATTTCTGAAGAGGATACAGATAGCATCAATTATAAAATAAAATACTGATAATTGGATTTCATTAAAATCAAGAACTTCTGTTCAGCAAGATAAGCACCATTAATACACTGAAAAGGCAGGATGTGAGAAAGTGTTTGAAATTCATATACCTGAAGATTATATATTGAAAATGTATAAAGAACTACAAATAAATATCCAATTAAAAATAGGTTAAAGGGGCTGGCCTGGTAGCATAGCAGTTGGGTTCTCACGCTTCACTTTGGCGGCCCGGGGTTTGTGGGTTCAGATCCCGGGCGTGGACCTACACACTGCTCATCAAGCCATGCTGTGGCAGCGTCCCACATACAAAATAGAGGAAGATGGGCACAGCTCTTGGCTTAGGGCTAATTTTCCTCAGCAAAAAGAGGAAGATTGGCAACAGATGTTAGCTCAGGGACGATCTTCTTCACCAAGAAAAAAAAAAAAACAGGTTAACGAAAACAGGTTAAAGACTGAACAAGCACTTCTCAAAAGATTATATGCATATAGACAATAAGCATATTAAAAGATGCTCAACATAATTAGTCATCATAAAAATACAAATTAGCACTATTGTGAGATACAACTTAAATTAGTAAAAACAGACAATACAAAGTGTTAGTGAGGATGTGGACCTCCACCATCGTTGGCGGGATTATGCTACAGTCTGAATGTTTATGTTCCCCCCAATTTTTATGTGGAATCCTAACTCCCAAAGGTGATAGTATTAGGAAGCAGGGCCTTTCAGAGGTGTTAGGTCATAAGGGATGGGATTAGTGTCCTTATAAAGGAGACCCCACAGGGACCCTTTGTTCTTTCTACCATTTGAGGATACAGTGAGAAGGCACTAGCTATGAACCAGGAAGAGGGCCCTCACTCTTGCCAAGTCACCTTTAATTTGGACATTGAGGGTATAATGCAAAGTGAAATAAGTCAGAGGGAGAAGGTCAAATACCGCATGATTTCCTTCATTAAGTAGTAGATAATAACAACAATAAACAAACACATAGGGACAGAGATTGGATTGGTGGTTACCAGAGGGGAAAGGGAGAGGGAGGAGGGTGAAAGGGATAATTCAGTACATGTGTGTGGTGATGGGTTGTAATTAGTATTTGGGTGGTGAACATGATGTAATCTGTGCAGAAATAGAAGTATAATGATGTACACCTGAAATTTTTACAATGTTATAAACCAATGTTACTGCAATAAACAAAAAATTAAAAAAAAAAAAAAAGAAGTTATCTAAGCAAGAATATATTATGTGAATGTGCTGTATTAGTGACTAGTTGTGCATAATAATATGTTAGACACTAAGGGAGATTAAAAAATTGATAGAGAGTATTGACCCTTAAGGAATTTACACTCGACCAATTGAGTTAAATAAAATTGCGATGATAAATGCCAAGATGAATGTCAGGATATCTTTGCATATAACAGGCACGTAGTAGTGGACAATAAATATATGTTAAATTATTTGACTTGAATAAAAATAGTATTTATGTATTGGGGCCATAAACTAGATATTGTAAACTCAGCTCTCCCAGCAACCTGTTAAGTAACTTTTGGAAATAAATTTATATTTCTGAACCTGATTCATAAAATGCATGACTTGTGCTAGATTGTCCTTAAATTCCATTCCAGTTCTCAAAATTTATGTATTTGAACTAACACATTTTATACACTTTGCAGAATAATTTATAGCTATGTTGTGTAGCTTACATTTTCTATTCACTTTAATGCTCATTTCCAGCATCTGTTTTATTTTTTTAGGTAAAAGTGTGTTCTTAGAATACTAGTTCAGCAAGATGTTATTAGTTGTTACATTTAGAAAATGATCATAGGTTAATATATATTTATATCTTAGTTAAAAAATTTATATAGGTTCTCAACTGTAGGTCTTCTTTAGAATCTTTATTATGGTAATGTGCAGTTGTGTCTTCTATGGGGAATATAGTAAATGCCTTTCCAAACTTATATGACAAGAGACTATTTTCCCATAAAATATTTTTTGGAAAATATCCGAAGAAATAAGATACAGATAAGGAAAACTCAGTAGATTTTCTGAACCAGAAAAAATATTTTAAAAGTATGATGTGATTTGTGCTTTAATAAAATCTCGCATGTGTGGAAAGATGTTGAGAGCGCAAAATTATAAATGGAATTAACAGCTAAAATATTGCAGAGGATCCGACTGAAATTATGAACAGGGAGCTATCAGTGGAACTACAGAGAAAAGAGCAGGTGGGAGAGACTTTTT